TCAGAGCAAATTCTTGTGTATCTGTGGGCTTGAGAGTAAGGAACACCTGTTTTGCAGTGATAAGGGTGGCTGCTGTGGAAATGAAGAGACTGGTGGCGGTCACTTGGTCTTTTGATACAAGGAAGTAGATATGATGGTGTCATTGAGAGATCCAGTGACATCCAGGAAGTGAAGACTCTTCTGCGAATACGTGTGCGTGAATGTTATCGAACGATGCAGGGAGTTGAAATCGGAAATGAACTTGGAAAGATTATGCTCACCATCAGCCCACACGAAGAATATATCATCGAGGTAGCGTCGGTATAATATCGGTTTGAATGGAGAATCTTCGAGGAAAGGAATCTCCAAAGAGGCCATGAAAATATTTGCGTAATTTCGGGCCATTTTGGTTCCCAAGTCAGTTCCGTTCACTTGTAGGTAATCTTTTTGGTCAAATTCAAAGTTATTATGTTTAAGTACAAGATTTAGGAGCACCTCTAAAGCACTTTCGTCGAACTCGATCATCGATTTACGTTTTCCATAGGCGGCGTTTGTGGCAGCGATTACTTCGGTCAACGGGGAATGTTTGTGTACAGTGATGAGACATCCATGGTGACCAAACATCATTCTAGAGGTACTACAAGTTTTAGAACTTCTCAAAGAAGTGGCTGGTATCATTAATGTATGATGGGAATGATTGTGAGATGTGCTTAAGAGAGAGTCAATGAAACTAGAGATTTTTTTTTTTCAGTAGCAGTGCCGTTGCTGGAAACTATAGGTCGGCCGAGATTGTTAATCTTGTGAATTTTGGGTAGTAAATAGAAGCGCCCAGGAGACGAGTTGCCAGGTGACATCATTTTAGGCATAGGATGCGTTATCTTACCGCTCTTACGTAATGATAATAAGGAGACCTTAATTGTACTTTCATATTCCTCTGTCGGATCACAAGGGAGTTCTTTATAGAAATTTTCATCTTCCAGTTGGCGAAGCCCTTCTTTGATGTAGTCAGTCCTGTTGAGCACAACCACAGCACCACCCTTATCAGCTGGTTTGATAATGATGTCCTGGCTGTCACTCAAACTGCGCAAAAACCTCCCTCCCTGGCTGTCACTCAAACCGCGCAAAGCCTCTCGCTCCTCCTTGGATAGATTGTTGCGAATGGGTTGGTGCTTTTCATGTTCCCTGATTATATCATATCTTAAACGGCTAAAATGTACATGTCTAGATATATGTCTCGTTGTTCACCTGGAGTCCAAGATTTAACTGAAAATTTATTTTTGTTGCGTGTGGCATCGACCATGAAGATATTATTTTAGACGCAAGGTTCTGGGAAAGTTGTCAAAATCTTGGTAAAGTTTAAACTCACAAATTTTGTCAGAGGTGGGACAGAAAGGTAAACCTTTTGATACGGCAGCTTTGTTTGCGCAGGTGTCAAAGATTTGCTAGAAAGGTTAACCACATTGGTGACATCAGTGCTATTTTGAGGAGATTGACGAAAGGTTACAGTTCAATTTACATACGTTGTGGGAGAATTTCTGGCGGAGTATTTTAATGCCAGCAGCGCACCGTCTCGCTTCAATTTCTTGTCTTTCTTGCCCTGAATTGTCAATCTCTTTTTTCTTCGTATTTGGCAAGCTCTTCTGTTTCTTACTGCGTTAAACTTGACTGTTTTAGCCAGCTTGCTCTGTTCTTCCTCTTTAAATTCCGCCGCCCTACATCTACTGTGTTGTATTACGACCTGCGTAAGTCTAGTAGATGCATCTTTTAAGATACTGCTCCACTGCCGCTGCTTATTATGTTGAAGTTATTCATTTCATTTTCATTTCATTTCACTTTATATTCGATTCCAAAATGATAGTTCAAAAAACTGTTTGGACCCATAGCCAAAAGCTAGAAGAGGGTCCAATGATGCAATACAAATTGGCACAGTATTCAAACGATAGCACATGTAGCAAAACAATAGAACAAGGCATTGAACCTGGATACAAGATGATAAACATTGCGCATATAGTAAAGAAGGTTAGGCATTGTACAGACATGTATATTCAGATACTCGAGCTTGGGTAAGATAACAGAAACATGTAATTTTCATACACAAACAAAAGAAAGGCAATGAGTAATAACAACTATGCAGTAAACTTTCACTGGACGTAGTGGTACTTATATACAAGGATTTGACGATTTTGTTACTATTAAGGGTGTTACAGAGACACAGCGAGACCCTTTGGTGCGAAATTGATGAAATATACGTTTCCGGTTTGAAGCATGCATTTCAAACCTCGCGCGCTTATCAACATTCTTTCTTAAGGCCATGAAATCGCGAGAACAACATCTGCTGGAGCGGGCCGTACCTGATGCATTGTTGAGTCGGTCCCTGCGTGGGGAAGATAGCACTGTTACCAGTAGCCCCTGCGTGGTCCCGAGTCGTGTTGTAGGGGCTGTTGCTCCTTGATCTATGAGGAGCACCCCTCGGCGCTCGCTGTGATTGTCGTCGACCCTGGCTCCCGCTTGCTTCGCGGATGCTGGGGAACTCGCTCCGGGAAGTAAAATGCTGCCCCGGCGGGCTAGGCAGACCTAATGGTGCACGTTCCGGCCAGGTTGATGGCGACCTCACCATATTTCGCAGAAGCAGGGATTTCAGGTGCCTGGCGATGAGGGCAACACCTTCAAAACTTGGATCTATACACCATCAGCCGCCAGAACCTGGCCATGCGGAAGCCATTCCAAGGCGTGATCGATGTAGAAAAGAGTACCGCTTCGACGGCGTTGTTTGTTCATCTCTAAGAATATTCATTCATTTATTTTGAGTATGACTGGCTATACACTTTTCTGCAAGAGAGAGTACATGGTGGGAGGGGGGAGAGGGCACATTTAACTCTGCATCGTGGCCAAGGTTTTCCTGAGGCTAAAGTGGGTCGTATGTTTCTTGTGTGTGTGTGGGGGGGGGGGGGGGGGCGATGCCATGGGCTAGCCGCCGAACCACGTGAACTTTAACTCAATCCATGTGTGGGATGCGAGTAAGCGGAAATATGTTTTACTTTTCCCCTTTTCCTTGGTGGCCTCCACTGGCGGCGCCTCATATCTACCTTTGGTTACAATTACCCACCCGCTTTCGGCGGCTCTCCGTCGCCCCTTTCTTTTTCTTCTTCTTGTCTGTCGCTTGCCTCGTTAGCCCGTTTTTTTTTTCTTTTTTCTTTTCATTTTCGGGGCCTCCGAACGGTGAGGGTGGCCCTCAGCAACGGGAACATTTATCATTTCGCTTAGATCCTCCGAAGGAGGCTGGTGCACCAGCCAAAACTGTTAGGCTATAAATAAACTATTGTTTTGCTTTCTGTATTGCACTACGCTCATATATATATATATATATATATATATATATATATATATATATATGGCACAACTGGAGCGTTGTCAACAAGCATAAATATATTTATTTCCCAACAGTTTCAGGAGGAGTCCTCCCTTCTTCAGGGGATTAGTTATGCAAACATAGACGTTGCTGCCGCGTCCCTCTCAACTTGAAAGATGTTTGCGAGAAAGAGAAAAAACTAAAATGAAAACTGTGAACGCTGAGCCGGAAACCAGTCTGTGCACATCCAAATGTGGGTGTAAGTCCACATCCAGTTCTCATCGTGTGCTGGCGAGTTCTCGACGCGTGTCGGGCCCCCGAAGATTGTCGCCACGGTGGCGGGAGGGGTCCGCGACGGTGTGCGTAAGGAAAGAGTTTCCCTTATTGGGTCGGTCGGATAAGTGGGCAATCGATAAGAGTGATTGGAGGCGTTCGGTTACGTACACCACACAGATTTCATTCAATAGGGCGTCGAACGTCAACACTCGAATAGTGGAAGGAAACGGAGTGCCATGTTTGCAAGATGCGAAAACCACTTCGTGATTATAGTATGTTTGCAGCAGTGAAGGTGGTGGATATCAAAACATTTACTAACCACTTTACTAACCATCGACTTTAGATTTACTGTAAACGATTGCACAAGGATGATTGGGTTGGGGCCATGTTGTATTCCTACCTTAGAAGTGTGGCAGCTTGGGCTAGTTAGTATGGCATGACGATAGTTATAGCGCGAGAACAAAGCGACGACACAGTCTTGTCTCTGTGTCGTCGCTCGCGCTATCACTATCGTCATGTATTCCTACCCTCAAGGCACTTATTCCGGAGCCCGCATGGAGGGCCCCTGTAATTTAGACCACAATGTGCGCCCGCATCGCGCGGTTGAAATGCATTCGGCCTCTGTCGGAGTGAGACCTCCGTGGTCGAAATTGAGACTTTCGGGCCAGCAGGCGAGCTCAGTGTGTTCTCTGCCACAGCGGCGTAGCAGTAAAGTTAGTTTTTCCCGCTTTTCGCACAGTACCTTGCGCAGCTTCTCATATTCACTACATACGTTGGGGAAATCAACGGGCAACGTTAATCATGCATTGGGGAACGTACAAATAACCTAAAAGAAACTACCCTGGAGACGATGTCAGAAAGTAGCAATATGTGCTTTCTTACACAGTGTCGGATATTCTTGCTCTCAAAAAAAAAAAAAAAATGAGTGAAGTGAACTCCCCTTTGCACATGAGACTTTTTCGGAATCAAAACAGCCACTAACAACGACAGCAAGCCGAGAGGGTTGCGGTTACTCCGATTTGTTGCTGTTGTAAGCATTGATATTAGAGTGGTGCTCCACCAGGGAACCATTATTGCGCACTACTGCTGTGGCGCGCTTTGCCGCGGCTGCGCTATGGGAAAACCATCTGCCAAGCCGCCTCCGCTCTGCCTCCTCCATTACTGCTCCCTCGGATGAAGGACGCAGCGAGCGGAAGTGACATCAGCTCCTCCTCCGCGTCCGGTCTCACTCATTCCACGCGAGAAAGGAGAGACGACATAAAGAAGAAAGAAAGAATGCGCTCAGCATCCTTCCTCTCCACCCATCTCCTCCCGCTATTTCGACGTCGGCGCAGCAGACGACGGCGTGGCACACGGAGCATTTGCGCGGTGCGCGCGTGTGTGGCTGGCGGCGGTGGCGGCGGTCTCTTTCAGTCACTCTTATCCTTTCCTTTTCTTTCGTTTCTTCGGTCGGTGGTGGTGTCTGTGGAAGTGCTCCGAGAGTGTGCGTGCTTGCGTGTGGTCAGAATCTGTGGAATGATGCGGTGAATTGTACTCGAAGAAAGCACCAGAGATGAGTTCCAACGCCATCCGGGGCATCCGACGCAAGAAATCGACGCTCTCCGAAGTGAAGATAGCCGTACTGGGAGCGTCGGGCGTAGGAAAGAGCGGTGAGTTTCGTCGGCGGGTTTAGGCTTACCCGCGAATACGCGCGCTAGATTTCGCACTTCGGGGGAAATCGCTTAACTCTCTTGCACGATGATCGCGTCTGCGCGCACTCCTGATGAGTAGTAGCATAGTCTAATTGGTTCTTTCGTGAAACGTGGGCAAAAAAAAAATTGGAAAATGCAAGTGGATTCCATGAAACTCGAATGTTCTTTTTTTAACTAGCTTGCTGTCGAAAGGTTGAGCTATGCCAACTCAGCTACTTCATTTAGCGATCTCTATAGCGAAAAAAAAAAACGAAAAATTTATGACCACGGATGAAAACTTAACTAGCTAATTTAAACAGAATATTGAAACAAGTACAAAACGAACGGTTTGGCAGGGGTGATATTTCAACATGACTTTCAATATAGTGGAACGTTCACATTGCATCACGCGCACACATTTCTAGTTCTGCGCACGGAATAACACGTATCTCCGTATATATCAGCGCATATATAGTTCATCACAACACGTGCTCCATCACAAGCGCTTATCTGCGTGTGTCATCGCTAAACTCTCGTAGATGACATTTGGCGCGTTCAGAGGTGGACGACTCTATATGTGCGCATATCTTTGGAGAAATTAAGTTCTGGGATTCGCTTTATGTGAAGCAAGCCGTGCGTTGCAAAAAATGGTCGTGACGTCATCATGTGCTACGCGAAGACAGTGTTGCGTTTGTCCGCACGTGTACATGCCATTGTGGCGTGCATTTCGCGGACTAGCCCTTCACCCGGCTAAACGCTCTTCCTATTGGCAATTATAAATTTTTTCCCAAATGCTATCTTCAAAACGCAGCGTTGGCTTCTTCGTAAAGTTTACAGTAAGGACCTTGATACGTATTTCTTTTCGTTCGCAAAATAATAGATTCCGGCACTTCAACTTCTAGAATAAAGAAACGAAAAAAAAAAGCTTTGGCAGACCGCATGTGTTGTGAGAATCAGTTTCAAACGCAGCAACCACGGGGATTAGCTGCGTTTGGCGCCTGTTTAGCCATGGCTTACAAGGTGGATTGGCTTCTTTGCACAATCGGAGCAACCGTGTATGTACGAGAGTCCTATTAGGTACAACTAATCTTTAGGAGTCTAAAAATTAGCTCACGGTGTGACGTCACACGTCCGTGACGGAAGTCATTGGTATCGAAACGTAGTGTAAGCAGTCTGGATTGGCAGTCACGAATCGTGACAGACCGAAGCTTGCAGAGTCATGGGCTAATGGGATAGCACATTGTTGTAAAGCACTGACGTGATACACTTATTCGCGATCTGTTCGAATCGGTAGCGGCAGGTTTCTCCAGATTTATAAGCCGCATTGACATCGCCACCTCTAACGAGTGACATGTCTCCAGTGTAATCCACGCAGGGTGGCTTATAAATTTATTTGTTCAATGCCTATTTTCGCTGTTCGAGGACTGTCGGTCGCGTTTGGCGCCTACCAGCTGTGGTGCGTGGGCATGCGCCACTTTTGACTCGGGAAAAAATGTTTTATGGCTAATGCGACAGGATCATTATCCATGTGATGACCTGTCAGTTGAAAGAAGGAAATTTCCCGATGCGCTCGCTTTTTCGTTACACATAACCAAACGGATGTATTGCAGAAACCAAGGAAAGCACACGCGTTATTAATCGGCTTCACTTGGGAGTAATAGTTGTGAATTTATTTGAAATAATAAAGCGGGCAAAAAACACCTATTCTGTGGGTAGCGTCCAAACACTGAACCTTCGAATTACGCGTAGACGTGCATTCATTCTTTCCTCTTCAAATTGGGTATATATACAAAATTAGGAAGGCGACCACAAGTGTGTCAACGAAAACATGTTATCTTTTCTTGATACTTTTAGTTCACTTTTGTTTCTTCCCAGCACGGTTGATTTTAATAAAATGCCCTTGGCCTTATTGTCTGTCAGTTCTCACGAATATTGGGTCTAGCAAAGAAATCAAACCCTTAAATTTACACTTCTTTGCTTCATTCATAGGGATGTTCTCGTTCTGGCAGACTCGATGCCTGCAGGGGTATGCGAGGGAGTATTGGTCAGCTGCCAGCTCGTAATAAGATGACGTGCTACGTGATGTCAAGAGAAAGATTGTTCCACACTCGCTGTAGTGGCCATGGGGGGCGCTGACTGGCGCTCCCGCGTTCAAGCGCACAAATATGCTGTATAAAAATAGACGGAGGGATGATCACCTCCGTAATTCAGTGGTATAGAGCATCATACGCGTTATTCGAAGGTCGCAGGTTTGGTTCCTGACAGCGGCCGGGAATCTTTTCATCCGATTTTCTTTGTTCGCATCTATATTGCAACTAATTCTAGCAACATATGTATACTTTATAGTGACTTTGGCATCATTGTTTGTCAGTTCTCATTACCGTTTTCGCTTATTGTTTTTTTTTTCAAGCGTAAGTGATCAGGTAGGTATATATACACTACATGGTCAAATCGCGTTTGGTTCGCAAAGAAACGCTTCTATTCTAAAAGCGGATGCATTAGTCGCGTTTCAGGAACGTAAAGCTCGCCGCGCCTTGCGTTGGGCAACGCTAGGTATTGCGCCACGAGCAGAGAGCGGAGGTTAAGAAATCGATGAAAGCATGGAGCAGAGCCGGCCGGGAACCGCTTGAAAACACCTGGGGTTCGGGCATCGGCATCGCTGCGCGGCCGCTTCGCCTGCGCCTTGTAGGTTGCGCCTTTAATTAACACTGGCTCAAGGCCAACGTTACTGACGGGTGCCTTGCAACATTTTCCCGCGCGAATTTTTTGAACAGCGATGGTTGAACAGCGATTTGATCACGTATGGGCAATCGAACACATGACGGTGCTCTAGTGGCTATGATGCCCCGATGCTAGCCGATGATTTCGGGATCGAATCCCGCCCGAGGCGGCTGCATTATCGATGGAAGTGAAAACGGCTGAGGCCGTGGTAGTTTTGTTTAGAGACAGGTAAAACAAGAACAACCACGTGATGGAAAATTGCGGAGCCCTCCGATAAGGCGTCACGGCGCCCCTCGCAATCATAACCAACTTTTACGACGTTAAAACCTAATAATTACGTTGCATGGGCTAGAAATCAGTACGCTCTGACTAAACAATGGTAATGGGTTCTTTGTTCGGCCCAGCGCAATAAAAACAGACAAGAGAGTGGAATGGAGGGCTTGGAGGTTGGCCAGATCCGTATTGCTTCCGTACACTGCCTGGGATACTATGAGATTGGAAATAAAGACTGAGAGAGCGAGCAAGAGAGATGAAATAAATAATAGGGGAAAATAACAAAGACACATAAAGATGTTCCAGAACCACCAGACAAGGAAAGTGCAAGAGACTTCATTGAAGTTCTGTCGCTGTAGTGTAATAATCGGTAAGTAAGTGGAAATGAATTGCAGTAGGGTTGACAGGCGGGCTAGTTGGTACAAATTCATAATGGAATAATTGGAAGCGCAAACCAACGGGACACAAGACCTTGTGTATTTGTTTGTCTCTTCTCTTGTGTCCCGTTGGTTTGCGCTTCCAATGATTCAAGTGGAAATGAATTGAATTGGATGAAAATTCAACTGTTGCCGCCGGCGTTCATCAAACTTGCGGCCTTCGGATAATGCGGAAGTCCTTAAACGAGACAACCTGACGGAAATCTTGGGGGGGGGGGGGGGGGAAACGGAAAGCACCAAGCAGTTAGCCCAAGAAATAGCTGCGAAGCGGTGGCAGCATGCCCAAAACACCGAGTGTAGGAGCAACGAGATGATACTAGGGAACGAGAAAGGCAACGGCGTGGCTACGAGAAGGCCCCACAGCGACGAAGGGCTTACGCCAATGATGACGTGGCCGTGTCTTGTCTCCGACTCTCTTTTAACTCGAAGCCCTCTCTGCGCTGATAATGAACATGGAGACAACCTATAACCGGCATTGCCAATGTAAAGTCTAGAAGCAACGCAGAAGCGCAGCCGTATTAGTCTTTAAAACCGTCGAGTATGGCTGTTTAAAGGCTTGCGCCACTTGGTACAAAGCTTCATCAATTTTATCACAATTATTTTTGTAGTACACAGAGACCTGTTTCTTCACTCAACCTAACCTAACATGAACGAATCAAGGTAGACACGCAGAAGAGATTAGCAGTCCTCACTTTGGGGCCACTTTGATCAATTGACACCAAACATTTGGTACATAAATGAGTCCCATACCGGAATGGCAGTGTGCTGAGGCGTCATGTTGACTGCATTTTGGTGCGTCGAGTCTGTTGTTTAAAGAGCGCTATATCTTCCGGTTTACTTGAAAACCTGCATCATGTAAGCACCTTCTGTGCGTGATCATTCGCATTACGGTGTTTATTTAGGTCTGGTGAGGGCTTGGCGTGAAGTGTGATTTAGATCGACGTGGAAGCCCTTTCAACGCAAACACGCAGTTTCTTGACGACGTAGTTCAATGCGTACAGACTGAACCACACTTGTGTAGAGCTCGTGGATGTATACACGTTGTTGTGTAGAGCTGCTACGTCACGTTATACCTACCATCTTCCGTTCCTGCTTGTATTATATGGTATAGCAGAAGGACTTAACCTGGCAGTGAGTCTATGTTATGAGGTATCGTTACGGCGTCAGCCTTTGCATACTTCTGCAGATGGCGGCGTCTGAAGCGGCGGGCTGGGTACTCTAGACAAGTGTAAGTCCATCTGTACATATAAAACGGAAACAACGCGAACAAAAGGGCGACAGAGATTGACAAAAGGACCATGTTTTACGCTATTGTTTTCTTATTTCTTTAACTAGCACGTCATGCAAAATATTAGAACATATAATTTTGAAACACTTAACCGTTCTTTTAGAAAGTAATGGCGTTTTGTCATCTTGCCAGCACGGGTTTCGCAGTGGATTATCGACTACCTCGCAACTAACAGAAGTTGTTCACGATTTAGCATTATCTATTAACAACTGCACGCAAACGGATATTATACTATTAGACTTTGCAAAAGCGTTTGATTC